TACTTTAATCTATATTTCTCTTACTATAATTGAACAATTTATATATTAAAAAGCGGGCGACTTCGCTAACCTTAATTTATAATCTATAACTTAACCCTTTAAAAAAGATTGAAAATGAGAGGCTAATTTTTAATTTTTAATCCCTTTTTACTAATTTTGCGTCCACTTTATTGCAGTTCCTATTGGTCACAGCAATATCTAATCATATTCGGAGAAAAAATGGGTTAAGGACGTTTTTTTTACCATTCCTACTACTACACGTGTATTCTACTGATTACTCAGTTAACCCATCGACTTTTTAAAAAAATCGAGACTTGATTAACTACGAAGCGATTTCGACGCAGTCGATAACAATTATTATTATATACCGGTCATTGATACTTGAAATTTTTACGTACTAACTTGTTTATTTGTATGATAGTTATTAACAATAAACATATCGATATCGATATACTGTATAAAATTTAATTTTCTTATTTGTTATATAGATTCTAGTGATTATTCAGATTAATATTATGACGTTTGTATTAGGCTAAAATTCGGTTACCAAATCCATGGATCAAAAAGTGCCGAGGAATAAATTTTACTTAGTGGAAAATATTTTTAGCGGGTCAATTGCGTTTATCATTATAATGAATGTGAATATACAAGTTTATTAAAAGTTTATTGCTGTAATTAAAATAAAAAATATTGAGAGATAATCGTTTTAATTTAAACCGAATAAATCGTGAATAGCCCGTGACTATTGCTCTAGATTATGGTCAATCTTTCCTACAGCAAAAATTATAGCAAGTATTTGTAAAAGACTTGAAGATTTATATTGTCAAAGTGCTAAAACCTCATGATCGCTGGTGACATTCCAACAAGTGTTGGATACCAGGCGAAAAGGTCATTTTTGCACCAGAACAAATATTACAAATTGGAAATAAAATTAAACTCTACAATAAATATATGGATGAATCCTTAGAAGCATTCAAAAACAAACATCTGGATGTTAATTTATATGTAATTAAAGTAGCTGACATTTTTAACACTCCAGAATTATTAGAAAGTTTAGGAATTACAGTTACTGATGTAGGTTGTATACCTGATGATGGCTTTGTAGGAAAGAATAGATTTGCAATGATCTGGAAAAATTCTTATTTTATGTTCTTTAAAACTAAGATCATGAGAAGATTTTCGAATTAATTTTAACTTATTTGAAATAAAATTTCTTTTTTATTAATAATTTTACTTAAGTAATTTTTGAAGTACGTAGTCATGTCAAATAAGGGATTGCTACTTAGTGTTTGTAGTCGACCATTATTTATCGACTTGACTAAGTCGATATTTAAAAATCAGCTTAGCCAGCTAAGTCGGAGTCAATTATTCTAAATTCTATTTATTTAATTTTCAGAACGTATTGAAGATTTTCTTAAATTTTTGCTCGTATTTTATTTTCTTTTCGGAATTTGTGAGATCCGACTGATTGGTTACTGTAGTTTTTAACATAAAATCAACTCGAGTTTATCACGTGAATTTTGTGATATTTTAGAAATTGGAGTTATCTATATATAGCTCCCAGTGTTAATTTTTCAAGTAAAATTTACTGTGCGAATGCCACACAATTCATAGACTTTTTCTGTGCGGCAAATAGAAAAAAAACTATGAGAAACTATTTGCAACTGTGTACACTGCTTAATTTTTAATCTTGCACTGTGTGATACTAGATACTCTTATTTGTCACCCACTAATCAAATTTCAAAATCAGGTGTAATGTAAAAAATTTCTTGCAAAATTTTTGATATAAAATATGCCCACTCTAACCCTAAATCGAACCTGCTCTAACTCTAATTAAATTAAAATAAAACATTTTGTTTTGATTTTATGTTATACCTAAATTATAGTATGTGATATATAAGTATGTAGCATGAAGCGATATACGTATACATTTATTCTTAGAAATTTATCTAATAAATTCTAAAATATCACAAAATACATGTGATAAACCTGAATTATTAAAACCAGTTTCAACCTCTAAATTGGATTTTTTTAAGTTATATTATATCTAATATATTTTAAATATTA